TTTTTTAAAAAATTATCTTACTTAGTTGATTAGGGTACAAAGGGTCAAGGGATACTGGAAAGTGGGTAGTACCATTGTTTCCACACTAATATCATTTTTTTCCCCCTGTATCTGGGTGCTTATCTATTTTAAAGGCAATGTTACTCCCTGGGAGTGTCTTTATTTTTGTTGGTCTATTTATTTTTGGGGCAGTGTCTGTCCATGCGGTCTCACTTTACTGACTGGATCCAAGAAAAAGTGTTCATTTTTCAGTAAGTTCAACTTTAACTTGCCACATGACAGAGTAATGACTTCAAAGTGACTGATTGCTAGAGTGGAAACCAGAGGCACTTGAAACAACTTTCAAAATGATCTAATTCTCTCCTCAGGCAAGACAGAGGGAGATAAGGGGGGGGGGGGAGAGAGAAAAATGAGAGAGAGAGAGAGAGAGTAAGGAGAGAGGTTTTTCTTTTTCATTTGCTAGTTTACTCCTCCAACGCGTTCAATAGCCATGGCTGGGCGAGGCTGGAGCCAGGAAGCCAAGTTTCCCATGTTGGAGGCTGGAAGCCACTTGGGCTATCTTAGGCTGTCTTCCCAAGTACTTCATTAGGAAGCTGGAACAGAAGTGGAGGTGCTGGGACTTGAACCCGCCTTCTGATGTGGCATGTGGGTATCACAGGAGGCAGCTTTCCTATTCTGCCTCATTACTTGCCTCATTCAAGTCACTGATTATTTAAGTTATGTGTCAAAGTTAAAAATTGATATAGTCAATATTTTTATTGTACTTGCTTTACCTGGTTTTGGTATCAAAGTTAAATTAGCCTCACAAAACACTTTTGGAATCCATCTTATTTTGTATTTTTTATAATAAACTGTGTAACATGAGTTTATCCATATTTTCAGAATTTAATTGTAGGCTGGGGGGCTTTTTGATTTTTTTTTTTTTGGAGGGCATGTTGGGTATAAATAGCTTTGACTCACACTAAATTATTTTCCCCTCAAGTACTTAGTAATTTATTCTTTTGAAAAGGAGAGTGACACAGAGAGAAGGAGTGACACAGGGAGAAGGAGCGACACAGAGAGATCTTTCATTTACTAGTTCATTCCTCCAAATGTCTGCAGCATTGGGGCTAGGCCAGGCCAAAGCCAGAATTCCAGAACTTTATCCAGTTTTCCTGGCAGGGTGGCAGGGACCCAGGTACCTGTGTCATCACCCAGCGCCTCCCAGGCATCATAACAGGAAGCTGGATGGGAAGATTGGGACTTGAACCCGGCTCCTCATTGTGGCACTCAGGAGGCCAAAGGGGCTGCTTAACCAAGTGTGCTGCAGCATTCATTTCATCCTCAAATTCCGTAAGGATTATCAATTTTAAAAAAAATTATCATTTTCCTAAGTTGTAAAAACTTTTTCTCACACTAATTTTAGTATTCTTTTTTCCCCCAAGTATACTCATTTCATGTAGGTTTTAAGGCACCAAATTTTCTTTTCTTTGTTGTTGAATGTATTATTTACATCTTTCATTCTCTCTCCTTTCACCATCAGTTCTGTGTGCTTGGTCTATCTAGAATCTAATCAGGGGTCTATGTAACCTATTAGGCTTTTCAACAAATGAGCTTCACATTTTTTTCATTCATTTTTATTAACCTTGTAATTTTATTGCTATGGTCAATTTTATGGATTTCTGTTATCATTTTATTTTATATTATTATAATTGTAAAGATTTATTTGTTTCACTTAGAGAGTTACAGAGAAGGAAAGACAGAGAGAGAGAGAGAAAGAGAGAGAGAGAGAAACACTTCCATTTACTTCGTAAATGGTCACATTGGCCAAGCTGAGCCAATCCAAAACTAGGAGCCAGCAGCTTCCTTTGAGTCTCCCATGTAAGTGCAGAGACCATCCTCTGAGCCTTCCTAGGCCATAAACAGGAAACTGGATTGAAAGTGGATCAGCTGGAATATATGGAATGCTGATGCTGCAGGCTAAAGATTAACCTGTTGCACTACTGCACTGACACCAATCTTTATTATTTAAAATGTTTTTTCTTTTTAGTTTTTGAAGACTTTGCTTATCTGAAAGTTGAAAGAGAGAAGGAAAGCAAGACCTTTTATCTGATATTTGCTCCCCAAATGGTTGCAAAAGCTGTGCCAGGAAAATCAAGAGGTAGATGCTTTTTCACGGTTTCTCATGTGGGTAGCAGGGGCCCAAGCACTTGGGCCATCCTTCACTGCATTTCCAGGTGCATTAGCAGAAAGCTGGATTGAAAATGGAGCAGCTGGGACTGGAACAGGTGTTCACATGGGGTGCTGGCACTAGCACCACTAACTTAATCCATTAGGCCATAGTGCCACCCTATTATTATTTTTAAAGATTTCTTTATGTATTATTAGGCAAAATTACAGAAAGAGGGAGAGAAGAGAGAGAAAGAAAAGAAGATCAGTTTTCTGTCTGCTGATTTATCTCCTAAATGACTAAGCCAGGCTGAGGCTAGGAGCCAGAGACTCTATCTGGTTTCCCCACGTGGGTGACCAGGGCCAGGTTTTTTTGGCCATCTTCTGCTGCTTTCCCAGGCACATCAGCAGGGAGTTTGATCATAAGTGGAGCAGCAGGAACTTGAACTCGCACTCCTGAAATGCCAGTGTTGAAGGCAGCAGTTGAAGCTACTGTGTCACAGCACCAGCCTTACTTTTATTATTTCCTTCTCTTTTGTTTCTCTGAGTTTACTCTATGCTACTTTGTTTACCTGTGCTTCATTGTCATTTCTATTTAATTTTTTAAAAATATTTATTTATTTATCTAAAAGGTAGAGTGACAGAAAGGAAGAGAGAGGAAAAGACAGGTCTTCTGTCCTCTGGTCCACTCCCTTAAGGTCCGCAACAACCAAAGCTGCACCAGGAGCCAGGAAGTCATATTCCAGTTCTCCCATTAGGGTGGCAGGACCCCACCCTAACATCCACTGCATCCCAGACACATTAGCAGGAAGCTTGAATGGAAGTTTGGAGTGGCAGCGACTCAAACAGGCACTTCAAAATGGGATGCAAGTATCCCAAGCGGGAACTTAATCTATTGCACCACAACGCCAGCTCCACTCACATTTCCAATTGGTGGTTTCATTGAATAAACATTTCCAGATTCAGAGATCTTTTTTGTCTTCAACTTAAAAATATTACTTTGCTGTATTTTATATTCTTTTCTTTATTGTTGTTAACATTATTGGTGTCCTCTGTTTCTTGGATCCTTAGTAAATAATTTGCTTTTCCTTCCCAAATGCCTATTATACTTTTTAAAAATTTGTTTTGGTTTTAAGGAAAATTAATTTCACTATATTTGCTTTTTTCACTTGCTTTTGAGTTTCCTGCTCATACCCTTTGATTTCTTACATATTTGAAAAAGTTATATAGATTTTGGATATGTAGATATCTATAGCTAACTTTTTTCCTTCCAAACTTTGTAGTAGATATTAAATGTCCTCTTACAATATTATATGTATATAATATATAAAATATATAATAATACAATATATAATATATAATATAAATCATATATAATATATTGTATGTTATATAATATTATATACCCACAATATATATAATGTATATTATATTATTTGGTATATTTAAATATGCAAGGATTACATGAGTTTTAAAGCTTTATTTTATTTTACTATGCATGAAGTTGACGTGTTTCTTCTACTGACACTCATTCTTCCCTTGAAATATTCCTCCTCAGCTGCCTCTCCCCTGTGAGGCACACACCTTCTCCTCATCTACTTTAACAACAAAGTGTTGCTGTCTGAACTATATTTCTGAGCCTCTTTGGCAGCTGGTGTGGGCCCAGTAAACGGGTCACCATGAGACCTTGGCAAAGCTCCTTAGAGTGACAAGCAAGTTTTTCCTTTCATCCTTTTTTATTGCTGTCCAGAAGAAAGTAACTAGAGCAGTGGCAGCCACCTTGGATGAATTCCACCATGAGGATGAAAGCCAAGCATGGCAGAGGAAGCAAAAACACAGTCTTGATGAAGCCACAAAGCTATCACACCAGCTCTGGGCTGTCTACCTCTGCACTAGCACACGAGAGAATCAATTAGTCACGCTTTTGAGGAAAGCAATTTTAACTCCTATGAGTAATTCCTAATTCATATGTCAACTCAAGGTTGTCATTTGTGTGTGTGTGTGTGTTTTTTTTTTCAGATCATTTTCATCTACTACATTCTCAGGTATATGACTGAAAAGACACATAACCAAGGCCCAACAGTATAAATAAAAGAATGTTTTCATGGAAGTATCTTCAACTTATTGCAAAATCCACATATGGATAAAATTGTCTCACTGAGTTTCAACAAGGAACCTAATTAAAGAGTTTTATTTATTTTCCTTTTTTTTTTTTCTTTTTTGACGGTAGGTCAATGATCTTAACCTGGAATCCTTTTGGAATGCAGATCTTGAAAATAGCATTCATTTCATTACCTTCTTGAGAAGGTAATCTTAAGAATATACGACTGTGAAATATAAGGCTAAGGAGTGTTCAATAAAGATTACTGAATATAAACTAAGACTGTATAATAAAGAGCTGTAGTATAGCAAAATTTTACTAGAGTTTCATTATAGACAGAATTTGATTTTAATATTATTGGTTTTAAAATACGTTCTGGCAGTAAGTATAAAATGTTTTTCTAGAATTTAATACAAATATGTATATATATTCTTGCTTCTGTAAAACATATATACTAGTGTTCAACTTAATGTAACTAGGATTTTTTAGCTATCATTTCTCAAGTACTTAGATATATTTAATCTTGCAAGGACCTACAAGACAGATAATATCATCTCTATTTTGGAGAGGAGAAAATTGAAGCTTAGAGGTGTTAATTCGCTCATCCAAGGCCACTCATTCTACACTGCTGACTCCCAACTCTAAATTCCTGAGAACTCAAGCCAAGCCCAGGGCTGGGTTGACAGGAAGAGATATGACATCAGCAAGACACAATTTCCATAGTTAGTATTAAGGAAAAGTTGGCACTCACCTGTCCCGCACAGGTCTGTCATGTTAATATGAGTAGGTAGGGAAATGCCTTTTGAGTTGGCTGCAGACACAGTTGCAGCCCAATTCCCAGTTCTTGGAATAACCCAGGTCCAGGAGGTATGTCTTGTGAAGTTCTGTGCTATAGTTTTCCTTTTTGCCATCTCCTGCAAGGTCACTTGATAGTAGAGGATTCTGCCTCTTGCTTCTGAGGCACTCAGATTCTGCAACAGAACACATTTACCTACTGTTTACTCCAGACAAGACAGCTGAATGCTCTGTGCTTTGTGCCTGGATCAGGCCACTGCTGGAGCCAGGTACATGTGAGTGACTTCTTTGTTTATATCTTCACATCTCATCTATACATTTGTATGTAAGCATCCCCACCCATCCCACACAGACAATTAAGAGGATGAAAGTACCTTTTTAAAGATAATTCTTTAAAACACAGTGATTTTCCTTATTAGTAGTAGACTTACTATTGGTAGACAACTTACTAATGGAAGACAGCTTGATTATAAATAATGAAACAAGCGTGGAATTGGAACTCAGATGATCTGGATTGGAATTGCAGCTCTACTAATCCGGCAGACCCAAAGGAAGGCATGCAGAATCTTTGAGTCTCCATTTCTAAATTTGTGAAACACACACACACACACCACGTGCATGTGACTTTTATATAGAAAGCACGATGCAGTTCAAGACATCAAGCGCAAGATTTTTAAGAGCTAAACTAGTGAGATCTATACTTAGTGCACTGAATTAGCCATCTGTGCTAGGAAACTAAGACACTGTTCATAAATGTGTGATTAACACGTTTTGGAACGGCAAAAATTCCAATTGAAATCAATTGGGAGCAATCCCAGAAAGCAAGCATCACACTAATTATTTGTATTGCAGCCCTGTTTGGACAAAGACTACAAGAAACAGAGGCAGGGAGAATGAAGAGTCATCATGTCCAGCATGAGCAGTGCCCGTCCTTGCCTACTGCAGGGAGATGAAGGCCTGCTTCCCCCAACTTAAGCATTATAGGTTTTTTTTTTGGCCAGGCTGTTCCTCCCCTGGTGAATAGAGTCTCCAGCTGTCTTTGCTGAAGAACATGCCTTAGGATCAGCCATTACTCTTGACTTTGACTTCATGTTCACCAATCTTTTAGCAATTTTGTTTCCTATGTAGTTTATATGTAAGGAAAAGCTGAGCTAACATGAACACTTGGTTCACTAAAAATTTATGTTTTCACTTTAAGTGATTAAATTGGTCTTCTGATTTTAATTTGGCTTCTGAAACAATTAGCACACTGGGAGAAAATGTTCCAATTTGCTGATTCAAGCCTTCTGTTTGGTCCAACAGCTGCATTTCTCCCTGTAAATGGAATCATGAACATCTGACTTTGTATAATTCCATTTTTGGAGGCTTGATTAATGCAGGTCTATTCTGAGAACCCTTCTTGGATTCATAAGGTCCAAGACTAGATCTTAAATTATGGTCAGTACCTCAGGTGAATGTCATGTTTGTGGGAGATGCTTTTGGGTGAATGCTCAATCTTTTCTAAAGCTGCCATTTTAAATATCTGTCACAGCTGATTGTGCATTAAAATAAGCAAGCACTTTTTAAAGCATAGTGCTTTAAACTGTTATTAGCAAGCATATCCTTTCCTTTGTCAGAGGAGAAAAACAGGCTACAGTAAAATCCGCTAAAGGCCACATCCTCAGCTCTTGCTCACTCCATCCTTCCCTCTAGTCCCAGAGGTAGGACTATCCTCACCCCTTTCACTAGCACCCTGCACTCTAAGACCTCCCACGAGAGTTTAACTGTATTCATGAAACCCTCTGTTCTTGTTAGGGACCTAAGAGGCATTAGTTTCACAATAACAACCGAGGAAACACCCATCACAGGAAAATAACACTTTACAAATCATCTTTACTTTCTCTCACTGTCTTTCATAGAAGCTCTGGAAATCTTGCCCAGTCTTATAATAAAAGGTCGAAACTAGGGGAGAACATGCCATCTTGGATCTAACGAACTTTCATGGTAATATGGTGTTGAAAATCAAATTAATCAGAGTGATCTAGTAAACAGAGGTGTGGATCTGAAATACTATGGAATTTCCCGGGGAGTAGTGAAGGTTCTCACCGCAGACCCTTGCATTTTATTCTCCAAATCCTATGTTTTAGTTAAAAAGATCGGTGAATAGGTAAGGACGGGGTAGAAGCACTTAGACAAGCAAATGTGGCATCCTGTGGTTATATTCATGACAAATGTCAAGTTCAAATATCAGGGTAAAAGTTAGCTTCTCTTGTATAATTAGCCTTAACCAAATTAAAAAACAGATTTAATTGGTCCAACTGGGTCCATGGAACAAAAAGTTCAGTGAGCCAACAGGAAAAAGGGCATTTACACAGATGGCACTTGGTCTCTTAAAGGAATTAAAAACAGCATCATTTGATTTAAAAGAGTGAAATAAAATGTGCAAATACTGTGCAGAGTCAACCACTTTTGGATTATGTCTGTCTCTGGTGGAACGGAATATCATCATGAAACCAGCAGATGGAATGGATGATAGTGTTCCCAATTGATTCAACATTTCATTTTACAAATGGAGAAACCTGAATCCAGGGACACAGGGATAGGTGGAAAAGGCAGGGGGCAGAATACTGAACTCTCAACATCTCAGTCACTGTACCCTTTAGTATGACGCACTGCTCGGTACACCAGCAACGTGATGATGAACTGGTGGACCCACACAGCCGTCTTTCAGAACCGGAATCTCCAGTCACGCTAGTGGTCACAACTTGCAAAACACCTTCTTTAGCTGCAGTACATTCTGATGCTGAACATCAGCAGAAGGCATGAAATCGGCAGTTTGGGAAGGTGAGGATCCAGAATTATCTTTTTCCTCAAAATCAGTAGGTTTTGAGTCATAGGAAGCAAGCTGTGAACCGCAACTCCCCATCCCCACCTCCAAAAAAACAAACAACAACAAACCAAATAAACAACAAACAAAAAATGCCCTGCAAATCCAGGGATCCAGCTGAGCCTCCTCAGATAACTCTGTTTATACTGAAAGGCTGAGCACAGAGACTGACATTTATAGGGCTCTGCCATGAGTCAGGGATTCTGCATGTTTAGACACATTTTGCTTCTCACCCCCATCTTTTTCAGGACATTCCATCTTTAATTGCCTTTGATCCTATATTTGCCACAAACTTGTTTGTAGATATCCAATATTTGGAAAAGACAGAGTAAATAATAGGTTAATACTTTCTCTTCTTTTGATCCAGAGTTTCATACCTACATTATTTCAAACAACAGAAAAAACTTGTCTGCAAAAGGTACTTCAGTAAGTTGATCTGTAACACTGTGCTTTCCATTGTCATAGAAACAGGATAACCCTTTAATGGCTATTTCTATTAAAGCAATACAACACATACGAACGACTCCTTCACCCTCCCCACTTTTGTTATTTTTCCCTCCCCGCTTTTGATGGAGTTGAAGCTTGGAGAAAAGTAATGAGATTTTAGAGTGCCCTCTGGTGGATATGAACGAGGATCTACCTAACCAAGGTTTGCACATCTTTGTCTCTGCAAGTTCTTGTACCTTCTCTAGTAGTGCTAGACTGGACCTCAGGCCGGTGTTCCTATTGTTATTGTCACCTTCTTCTGTCAGTAAGAGTAGGCTAAAACAATGTCTTATTGATTTCCTTCTTCAGTTTTCTTTCTGTTGTGTAGCAAATCTTTATTAAATTTTTTTTTTCTTTGAGAGGTACAGAGAGAAGCTATCTGTTGGTTCACAACTTAGATGCAGTGAGTGCAGCTACTGCTGCTGCTTCCCAGAGTCTGCACCGGCAGGAAGCACACGGCAGGGCTGGTGCAGGGAACTGAACTCGGGCTCCAATGTGGGAGGCAAGCCTCTTCCCCACTAGGTTAAATGCCTGCTCCAGTGGGAAGGTTCTTACAGTTAAGATGGAATACCTTTCTCATTTACATTTACCTAAGAAAGGAGGGGTGAACAGCTCCTTCAATAAACCTATTGTGAGAGTTTTGCTCCCTGAAAAGGCTGTTATTGCCAAAAATAACTCAGTGAATGTAATGGATAGTAGGAAAAAATTGGACACATTTTAGAACACAATTCACATTTTTTTTAAACAAGTAAAACTCTAACTTTGTGACTAGATGATTTCTTCCAAAGACTTAAAAACCATACTGTGTTCATTATAAAGTAATGCTTTCTTCTGAACTTGCCTTGGTGCAGCTATTGAAGAGGAGTACGGTGGGGCTCAATCTGCCTCCTAGGAGAACGTCAGTAATCTCCTTAGAACCTGGAAGAACTGGAGCCCTCTCCATCACTCTCTTGGGGTTTTGCTGTGGAATGCTCCTGATTTCAGTTCTCCCATCAGGATAGATCCTTTGTGTTCTTTCTCTACCATATACCAGCTATGTGAGCTGGGACAAGTTACTTTGCCTCAAATTCCTTATCTGAAAAAGAAAGATAATTGCATGGGCCTCACAAGCATTCTGGGAGGCAGAGTTTGGAAGCATGTTTTGCACATGACCTGTTTTAAGCCTCTTGGTGAGTTTCCGACTTTCAGTTACTCTGAAGTGATACAAAAGTCGCTGTGCTTGGCTTTCTCCCTATCACTCCTACAGCAACCTGGAGAACAGGGACTTCTTGGGTCTTGAGTTGTATTCGGGCTCTACCCAGAGAACAGAACTCCATTCACAGGATCAACTTTGAATAGCTGGACCATGGCTAGCACCTCCTAGTGGGTCTGCTATACTGAAATGATTCAACTGACAGTGAGACCTCAAGGTACTTTCCCTGGCGTAAATAATGTTTAGTGTGTTTGCAGCTTAGAAAAACAGAAAAACTTCAGAGAGCACAACTTTAGCTCCTTTCCCTTCTCTGACTTCTTTCTTCTATTCATGCTCTGCTACCCACTCCTTTATTTTTGTCACTGGCTGCATTTTGCTTTCCAACCACAATTCTTTGAAGATGCTGTGCCAGTCTGTGATGGGGCCAGGATCAGGAAGGAGAAGGATGTATATTGTAACAAAACTCTACCATCTGTTGCTTTTGTGTTTAGATATTAATGCTGGGCCTAAATAGCACCTATAAGTATAAAAGGCTCTGGGTACCTGGGAGCCAGTACTTCCTAGGGATTTACAATAAATCTTCAGCCTATGGCAACAAAAATCAGGTAACAAATAACTTTTTATGAAGCCTCTTTCATGTGAAGTGCCTAAAGAGTCCACCCCCTTCAGCACAGTGTGATAGAGGCTGGAATATTTGTTCTGTTACAGAGAAACAGAGGGGAGAGAGAGATAAAGCAGGGTGCTGGATAAGCTGTCCGAGCTGCAGGTCTTCTCTCTAAGACTGGGTTGCCCACTTTTTTTTTTAAGTGGCTCAGAAGAAAGCTTTATTGACTGGGGCCATAATAGAAGTAGATGGTAGCAGGAAGGTCAGGCTCCCACAATCGCAGTAGCAGCATAGGCTGTCCACTTGCTTTTCACTGTCTGTGGTTCCAAGACATCAGTTTGTGAAAATGAATGACTTTGCTCAAAAAATGAATAATAAAATTCCAAACCTTTCCCCCCTTTAGGAACCAAGAGCTTTCTTAACTCTTTGTACTGCTTGTCAAAGGTCCAGAGCTGTGCTGTCCAACACAGGAGGAAGCCACTTACCATGGGAAGCCAGTAGCCCTCAACCAAGGCCACTCTAAGCAAGATGTTGTGCCATCTGGACAGCAAACTCCCACCACTGAACTGTACTGGGACTTAGTAGACACAGTGGCACACCGGAGATCTGAGAGAAAAAAAACAAGCTCCTTCTGGGTCTCCCATGCCGGTGTAGGGTTCCTAGTCTTTTGGCCATCCTCGACTGCTTTCCCAGGCCACAAGCAGGGAGCTGGATGGGAAGCGGGGCCGCTGGAATTAGAATCTGCGCCCATATGGGATCCCTGCGTGTGCAAGGTGAGGACTTTAGCCACTAAGCTACTGTGCTGGGCCTGATGATTATATGTTGAAATGACAATTGTTTTAAAGTACAAAATTGAGCAAATGGAGCTTTCAGGATAAACCAAGGCATGGGAAAATACATAATTACTTGGAAAATACGATAATAAAGATCACCTTCCCCTTCATCTCAAACACATTCACAGAAATACATATATACTCACTTTACACTCACAAACCACCCCCACACTCACACCCACGGTCTTCCCGTGTATGCTCATACCCACGCACCTTCCACACACTCAATGCACATATACATGTATAATTCATACACTTCTACAGGCACACACACGTACATAATCCTTCTGACTCATCACTCCTGCATGCATGCTCAGTATCTACACACCCATATTAATACATTGCTTACACATAAACTCACGTGCATTAACACATATTCAGACACACAACATACACACATGTGAGGTCTTCAAATAGCTCATGAAAAAGATGTAAAATAAACATACGTAATTCCAAATTTTTTGTATTAAATAAACTTATCCTTTACCTCCATTTTCCATGAATTTTTGAATTACCCTTTTATGCCCTCTGCATCTACTCACTCCCTTCATTCCCCAAATGCCTTCTACAGAGGTTGCACCTATTCAGCCTTGTTGGCTTTCTTCAGATGTAAACATCCTATAAAACCTAAAGGCCACTGCACAGATACAAGAGTAGCAAGCTCTGCTGGGGTTTACCTGGGGCTTCCTTTGGTGCCACAAACTGAAATTCCCCTCTCTTCATTCATGCGGTGTCCTTTACACTTGGTTTCCCACTGTTGCTCACAGTAAAAAACCCACCACACGTGAGTCTTTGCTTCCTTCCCCCCCACCCATGAGCTATGCCTTGTGCTGCACCACAAAGCACTTTCATTCTGCTGTGACATTTAGATGAATCCTTGTACTCTCTCACTGTCCAATCAAGCCAGGCAGCCTGTGTGGGGGTGCCAGAAGGGGTCCCCAGCTGAGGAGGAAATGGAGCTTTCTGAGGGGTTCACTCAGAAAGGACAAGTACTTCCATCTAAGAAGGTCTCCAGCAGCAGCCATCTCCCCTGAGAGCCCTTCATTGCAAATGACCTCTTTTAACCTCAGTTTCACGTCTGTCAAATGAAGGGGGCTGGGAACTACAGGCTAGCTAATTCTCTAGACTCCAGACATCTGTGATTCCATGGTCCAGTGCAGGACTGCTTTTCTAAGGGACTCTGGTCAGTATTTGTGACCCTATGCCCAGGTGAGTGGCATGAGGAAGTTCAGGATTTGACAGAAAAGGACATGGTCCTGAAAAAACTGGGGCTGCATGCACTTGCCTTGGGGCCCCTTAGGCTGGCTTGGAAGTTGCCCTCTGATAGCCAGCAACTGGTTAGAAACTTCTACCTTTTTAAATTTCTTATACAAACCAGCTCTATTCCATAGCATCCTGCTTGGGTCCAAAGTTCTGGCTTCTCACCACAACAGGGATCCACCCATGGCACAAGCTATTGGAGTCTGGCTCCAGCAGAGACACCTGTGTATCCTGGCAGGAGCAGGAGTAATGTTCACAGGAAGAGAGCATAGACCAGAAGGATATTGAAGGTCCTTCAAATTCCAAAACTTCATTCCAGAGCTTAAACATAGGATAGAGATAAGACCAAAAGAGTAGCAGAGAAGAATCTGCATGTGTATACATTTGCTAAGCATTGCTTTGGCTTAAAACAAAACAAAACAAAACAAAAAAGCCAACCTTACCAGCATGTGCTGGGCATGTTGCTTTCACCATGAAGATCAAAACTAATGGCATGGTTCCGTTTAATTTCATCTGCTGATCCCCAGATTCTTACATGTGTGTCCTGTCATTGCTAGCCCACACAATGGTTTTTGTCAGTGCTACAGACCGCAGCATTGTTACACTCATTCTGTTGAGGGAAACCCGTGAGAAGATGGGGTGACGTAGAACTATCACATCTGTCAGATCACCACTAAGGATGTTTTATGGGGAGAAAACTTTACGGTAAGGATTTTGGTTTTAACCAAATTTATTTTTTTAAATGAAAACCAATAGCTGAGAACTAGGCTTTTTTTTTTTTTTTTTTAATATTCTTAGGTTAGTATTGTTCTGAATGGCCTGCTTTGAGAATGGAGAATGGTCTTGCTATTAAGAGAGACAGTGAGAGACAGAGAAGGAAATGGCTTGTTTCTCAAAATTAAAGACAACCGCAGTTAACAAAATTCATCATATTAGAATAACCAGAGGACGTTGTAGTCATTGCTTTGACTATTCTATTTTCTTACTCACTGGATTCATAATTCCAAGACTGTTTAGTTACACCTAACCAGAACAGTTTAGTGGAAGGTGCTTGAGTTTTGAGAAATAAAGAAGAAGACACAACCCTGGAAATCCCTTCAAAGAAGCATGTCAGTTAGTAGCTCAATTAAATTAGTATTTTCTTTCACAAATATGAGTCATGATGTAGCAAAAAAAGTTCTGGATGGTTGGGGTGGGGCAGCATTGTGGTGCAGAAGCTTAAGTCCCTACTTACAATGCTGGCATCCCAAATCTGACTACTGGTTTCACTCATGCTTGTTCCACTTCAAATCCAGCTTCCTGTTAATTTGCTTGGGAGTGTAATAGAATATGCCTCAAGCGTTAAGGCCCCTGCCACGCACATGGGTGATTCTGATGGAGTTCCAGGCTCCTTGTCTCAGCCTGGTCCAGCCAAAGCTGCTGGCAGCCACTTGGAAAGTAAAAAGTGGAAGGAGTGCCCTCTCTCTGACTTTCAAATAATAAAACCTTCTTTGTTTAATTCCATATTTTCACTTAGTAGCTGGGTGGCTTTGAATATGAACTTCCTCTCTGGCAACTGGTTTGCATATCTGCTAGCTGGGGAAACCAGTGCCTCCCTCAAGCGGCTTCTGTGCAGATTGCAAGAAATGGCGATGCCAACTTCCAGCACTTGGTGGAACTTGTACATTATATAGTAATGTTAAGTCTCATTGGCTTCTGGAAGGCTGTTCAATTTACTGCTGACCAGGGCTCCTTTTCATTCCTATTTATGTTTTTTTTTTTTTCCCACTGTTATTGCCATTCCTCCTGTGAGGTAGCTTTTTTCCTATTCTCTACTTTTTAGGAACTATAGAAAATGTATTCTCAAATACCCACACTTACAATTTCCTCACCTTTGTTTTCCCACTGAGAAGTAAGAAGATAAGGCATCAGGGTCACTGCTGGGCATACTGGCTTAGGGAAAGGAAGAAGTAAAGAGGGAGATTTAACAAACAAGAGGGACAGTGTTGTGGCTTGGTGGGTAGGGGTACCATCTGTGATGCTGGCATCTCTTATTGCCAACTGCCCCTGCTAATGGACCTGAGAAGGGCAACAGAAGATTTTTCAAGTACTTGGGCTCCTGAACCCATGTGGGAGACCTGAAAGAAGCTTTTGGCTTCAGACTGGTCCAGCCTGTCAAACAGCCATTTGGAGAATGAACAAGTAGAGGAAAGATCTCTGTTTTTCTCTGAAATTCTACCTTTCAGATAAATAAAATAAATCTTAAAAAGAATCACAGGAGAACTGAGAGTTGGGGGTCAGAGAGTAGAAAGTGCCAAGGTGGGAAGGGATCAGCATTGGATACAAAATGCATGGAGAAAGGAGGTGATGGTATAGAGGAAAGAACTCAGCCAGAACTGCCATCCGTCTCTGGTAAAGGTTAGTGAGACTGCATCATGCACCTTGTCTGAGAAAATGAGCTCCAAGAAAGTTGCTGAAGCATCATATCCAAGTCACTGAGGATGTTGAAATTCATCATCCAAATGCATAACTCCATTGGATGATTTTTTCCAAGATTTAAAAAATTAATTTTAAAGTGTTCATCCACTGGCTCACTCTCAAATGCTCACAGTGACAGAGGCTGGGTCAGGCTCAAACTGGGAGCTGAGAACACAGTCCAGGTCTTTCACGTGAGCAGCAGGGACCCAAGCACTTGAACTGTCACCTGATGATTTGCAGGTGCACATTAATAGAAGCTGAAATCAAGAATGGGCCCAAAGCAGTAAAAGAGGCACTCTGACATGGAGTAACCTGCTTAGCGCTTAGGTCAAACACCCTGAGTTTAAGGTTGACACTGAAAACCTACCTTCCAGAAAAGAAAAACATGTTCTTTGTTGTCGTCCACGTGCTCTTTCATGTACCAGACATCTAATGTTCCAGTAGGTTCTGTTTTGAAGAGGAAAAAAAATAAAACCATATTTTCACATAGATGTATATTGCAGTAGCCTTTAAAAGTGAACTGTCATTCAACAAACAACTCTTGGAGGGTAAGGTTTTAGGATAATCTCAACTTTCTTTGTGTCCAAGTACTTCCCTTTTTCTTCTGTTTAACAATGAACACATACATATTTTCAGCCTCAATTTAGGAAAAACAAAGCTTACTGTAGAAGCTTACTGTTAAATTTAAACATTATAAGGAGAATGTTCATTTTCTAATTTTAAAGCATGTATTAATAACAAAATAAATGTGCATGCTTTTTTGCTGTAATTCAGGAAAAATTCTAAACAGAAAAGTGAAGACAATAAAAATGGTTTCTCATCTTGTAAAAACAGAAAATTAATACAAAGGACAAGTCTTGCATTTAACTTTGTTTCTGAACTAATGTGAGAGTGTAAACATTTGCTTTCAAGTCATTAGATAACTTATTTGAAGAACATATATCTCATTTACCTGAATGTTCCCTGTACATAGCACTGTATTTAGATTTAACAGACTACCAATAATGTGTCAATGATGAATTAACAAATGACCAATCAGAAGATGGCCAATTAGGCAATAGGCAATGCTCTTTGATGCTAGAAAAAAAATAAACAAAACACTGAACCAAAAGAGGGAATAACCAGCAATCAGCAAGTCAGTGGTCAAATACGGTTTTATTTAGCTTGAGAAAGTCAACCTAGCATATTTTAGAAGAGACTCAACAGTCAGCTCCTGTGTGTGTGTGAAGTAGTTTTGTCTCCTCTGTTATGAAGTTACAGATTTGTTTCTATCTATAGCCCAGACTTATCTATACCAGCTTAACTTCCTTGATGGTGAAACTGGGAGTGGCCTCAGGCAACACTGAGTAGAGGTTTCTTATAGGATAGAAGCTTCCATTTAACCAGATGGGAAATGTCTAGACAATTAAGTCCCACTATGTGGCTACCAGAAGACAAACGCCCAGGGAGAGGGCAAGAGGGAAAGGAAGGGCACACTTGCCCCACCGTGGGGAGCAGAGCCTGTGTGTGCCATTCACAGTTCTGTCTCATGTCTTCCTTACACTCTAGACTTGGCTTCAGTGCAGTGCCAACACATGAACTCCAGGGGTCCATCTACAGGTAAAGCCTGGGCTCTGTGACCATTTTTTAAAGTTTATTTCTTTAATTATTTCATTTACTCTAAAGTATATGGCTGGGGTTTAGAGTCCAGGACAAGCAGATTTGATTTCTGATGGGTCAGAGAACAACTTGGACACATTTGTGGGCTTATATCTCCTTTACTTACAGTAATGGCAAGAAATGCACAAGGAACAGTAACTAATCCTTAACATTGGTTGGGTCACAGGAGATACCCACCTCTGTCTGTGGTGACAGTCAGACATGCAGACAGACAAATATACACAAATCCACACACAGTCATATACAGATGTCCACATCTATCCACAAGCAGTCAGATCCACCAATAGCCATGTCTAGCTGTGCCCTCGAGCTGGCTATATAATACATTTGGATAGCAGATCGGCCTATTGGTTATCATGACATGAGTTGCCATAGAGACACATAAATAAGGGGGCATGGACAAAATGTATGGGAATTTGATAACTTCACCTTTCCAAATCTTCAAAAACACAGACAAACGGTTGGCATTGCAGTGCAGGGGTAAAGGTGCTGTTTATGAGGCCAGCATATTATGTGAATGCAAGTTGAAGTCTCTGCTGCTTTCACTTCCAAGCTGTTTCATTGCTAATGTGTCTGGGAAAACATCCAAAGACGACCCAAGTGCATGAATCCCTGCCACCCACATGAGAGACCTGGGAACAGTTCCAGCCTCATGCCTTCAGCCTGCCCCAGCTGAATGCATTGCAGCCATTTGGGGAGTTAACCATCAGATAGAAAATCAGCCTCTTTCTCTGTAACTCTGCTTTTCAAATAAATTAAAAATAAATCTTTAATAAAAAGAGACACTAAATCCACAGTTATCCTCAAAAGTCAAGGTAAGAACAGGTAGAGGGCGGGAGCCAGAAACTCAATCCAGGTCTCCATGAGTGGCAGGGGCCCAATGACTTAAGCCAAATCTGCTGTCTCCTAGGATGTACATAATCAGGAAGTTGGAATTGCGGGTTGAACCAGACCTTGAACCCAAGCAGTTGGATACAGAATGTTCCAAATAATGTCTTAACTGCTAGGCTAAATGTTGGCCTTCTGGTTCTGTGATCTTGAACAAACATTAGTTGCATTCTTTAGCCAGTTTCCTCATTTATCAAATGAAAATATTAATTCTAAACATGACATGGAATCTTCAAGGGAATTTAAATAAACAGCACTGACAAGCGACACAGCACCCGTAAACATAAGCTGTTATTTTGTTTGATCTGAAAAGGTTCAGGATCTTATTGAATATCTCAGAACTAATATTCAGAGAAGCCAGGCTTGGGACCTAAGTCTGTTTTATCCCATAGCCTCTGGTCTAGTTTCTGCAGCAAAAGTTGCCTGGCTCTGAGGAAGTTTGCCATTTTTCTCCAATGCTCCCATTCCCCACATGTGCCTCTTTCTTGCGCTATTGTCTTCCTTTGTCACCTCCTCCTCCTGGAGCTCACTCTCTTCTCATATATTTTCCAAACTACTACTACTGCTGCTTCTTCATTTTCTTCTTCCTTCTCTTCCCATGCTTCCTCCTTCTTACACACCTCCTCCTTCTTTTAAGATTTATTATTTATTGCTTTTAAAACTCAGAGTCACAGAGAGGGAGAAATAGATCTTTCATCCTGTGGTTAATTACCCAAATGGCTGTAATGGCCAGGCTGAAATCAAGAACCAGGAGCTTCCTTTGTGTCTCCTATATAGCTTGCTGCTTTCCCTAAGGAAAAGGAGCTGGACTGGAATTAGAGCAGCCAGGACACAAACAGGTGCCTATAAAGAATGCCAGCATTGAAGCTGGCAGTTTTATTCACTATGCCCCAAAACTTCTTTTTTCTTTATTTTTTAAAAAGATTTATTATTTATTTTTATTGGAAAGGCAGAAATACAGAGATGAAGAGAGAGACAGAAGAAGATCTTCCGTCCACCAATTCACTCCCTAAGCAGCCACAATGGGCAGAGCTGAGCCAATTGGAAGCCAGGAGCTTCTTCCTGGTCTTCCACATGGGTACAGGGTCCCAAGGCTTTGGGCTGTCCTCGACTGCTTTCCCAGGCCACAAGCAAGGAGCTGGATGGGAAGCAAGGGTGCCAGTATTAGAACCAGCACCCATATGGGATCCCAGCGCATGCAAGGTGAGGACTTTAGCTGCTAAGCTACCACGCTGGGCCCAACATCTTCTCTTTTCTTTCTTAAGTCTTCTGCTTTCTTCTCTTCCCATTGGTGGTAATATTTACCCTTGCTATGAGAAATAAAGGATAAGTAATGTTAATGGAAACATTTGAACATGCTCTCAGTTCTCTAGAATGAATGAAGACTAACCTAAGAATCAAGCTCAGAGCTTCTGTGTGGTAACTCAGATGTAAAAAGGGAACTGAACAGAACAGAAAGCAATGGTATCTGATGTTAACTCACCCACTACCAAGGGTCAGGTAATGTTTGCATACTTTATAATATAATCTCATTTAACTTCCAAATAATTACATTGGGAGTATCTGAGAACAACTGCTTCATAACCGAGAACAGGGAGGCTGGGAGAGATTAGATGCCCGACAAAAGACCTAGGGCTAGTAAGTGGGCAAGCTGAAAACTGAGCTCAGGTTTTGCTTTCAAAGACACTGCTCTCCCCATTATAATTCACCATATTGGGCAAAGATTTAAATGCTCCATGGACTAGATAACGCACAGACACTGACTACACAATCAGAATTTGGAAATTTGAGCGTACTCTGGGTAGATTCCAAGCCAGATGATTTATTTCATAGATGTAAATGTCTGCAGTTAATTACATATTAGTAAGGGATTTAAAAAGAACATCATTTGCCTCATTAAAGATCTGCAACTTCAGAGATTATTACCAACCGCAGAATCAAATTTTAGAACCATCCTCTCTTCACAGGACAAGTTGCAAGGGAAAGTGAAATTTTAATGGCCCACCTGCAGTATATGCCTCTCTGGGGGAGAAATCATTAGTTGAATCTGTATGAGTTTCAAGTGAAAATTTCATGACCGGGTGTCAGATTACTGCTGCTTTAAGCAATATAATCTTTGATATGTGATTGTCGCAAAATCACTTAAAGTCCTAACCTCAGTGTCATTGAACAACAATTGGTTAAAACTATCATAGGCAAGTAAGAAATAGTAAGTTAAAGGCTTATATATTCAACTTATTTCAAAATAAATGGATGCAAATGACCAAAAATACAAACATGAAAATGAAAATCAGTTGTCCTAAGATGAAACTAAAGGGAAAAAATTGTAGAGTTGACAAAAGAGGCTACCAATATGGAAAAAAAGGGACCAGATTCTAAATTAAGCAGGTTGACCTAACTGACCTAAAGGGCCTTGACAGTTCCTTTTGATGCATACAAGTGATCTTTAAAAAGCTCATGGAAAAAAATCTATATCATGAATGTGTATGAATTTTAAAATTGAATTTTAAAATTGTTTCATTAAAATAAGTTTATCCCTCAATATTTTTCCACAAACTTTTGAAGTATCCTCCTTATGTTGTAAGCAAAGAACACCGAATTCATGTGTTGCTTCTGAGATTAAAGCTCAGGCAAGTTAGGGGAGTCTGACAATGGAGTCTCAGTGTAGAAGGCAGTAGCTCTCCAGAGATTTCAGCATGCAGTGCAGACAAGCAAGGCGATCACAACAGCGACACTGGAGAAACTGGGAAAGGCCTAACTTGGGAGGTTTCCGGTGATACATTAAATGAAACAGATCATGGCCCAAATCATGCTTAGAGCAGGACAAGATGTAGATAAAGAAACACTTTTGCTCCATGAGGATTTTTTGGAGAGCAGGTTTCAAATAACTGCATTCAAAT